CGGACCTGCAGTTCGCCCTGCAGCAGCAGCAGCACTTAATTCTCGTTACGTTGGCTCCTCGTTCTCCGGCGCGGCGCTTATCCGGAGCACTTCCTGGACAAACTTCTCCAGCGCGCGCGGTGCTGATGCGAGGCCCGGCCCGGCCCGCTGGAGCTGCTGCCGGGGAGGTTTTATTTAAATTGTCCAGGAGAGGGAGCAGGCTGCTCCCCGAGCGGAACGACGCTTCTCCCTGCTCTGCTGGAGCTCCTCGCTGGAGCAGATTGTAGTCGGCGGCGGAAGCGCACCCTGCGCATCCTCCAGACGGCCTCTCCAGCACAGTCTCCATCCGGGAGTGGCCTCGAACAGGGAGATCTCCTCATTGCCGTGGAACCTCCAGCCTCCCGAATAACAAATCAGCAACGTACAAACTTTTTAAAACCTTTTTTTTGTTTTTTTAAAGGTTATTTCCCTACACCCACACCCCCGCCTTTAGCACGAAATAGCGAGTTACACAGGCGCTCAGCCCCTGCGAACTGTGGGGTAGGCCACCCGCACAACCAGCGTGTATTGCATGACAAAACTTTGCATACCTCCCAGGCGGCCAGGCCACGTCACCCAACTAATAATACTTTTGAAGAAATGCATCCAAAAGTCGACTTTGTCTTTTCACCAGAGCCCTCTCTCTCTTTTTTTGGACACGCCGTTGCATGTTTCCCCCCCGTGGAAGTATAGGGCAAGTCCCCCACTCCTCCATATATACCCGACGATAAGCACAGCTCGGCGCCTTGCACAACGCAACTGAATGCACTCGGCCGGTGCAAAACTAATAATAATGCAATGAGCTGCATTGTGTGGCTGGCCGCGCGTGTGTGTGTACAGGCGCGCGTGCGTCCGTGCGCGAGCACGTGCAGTGCGTGCAGCGCGCCGGCGAGGTAGCTGAGCCTTGAGGGCCCACGGCGCCGCGCGGTCACGCACGCAAGCGACAACGGAGTAATTAGATTTATTTTGAACAGGCACTCCTTGCGTGGGGCAAACTCACGCGCTTCGCGTCGTTTGTTGTTGTTGTGCCGACTGTTTGGGTGCGTCTTTTTAATTTGGTATATAAAATATGGGAGCGGGTTCTCTCTTCTTTTTCGGGGGTATTGTGGTCGTGCAACGAGGAAGCTTTTTCGCGCGCGCCGAGCCGTCGCGTCGCCCTGCTCTCCCACGCCCCTCTCTCCCCCTCCCCCTCCCCTCCCGTCCTCCTTTTCTCTTTCCTTCCGTTTTACTCTCCCGCGAGCGAATGACGGGAGGTGCCGTTGGTGCCGCGCGCGCTCTGCCGCCGCCACCAGTCCTTATGGCTCCATGCTGCAGCCTCTCCCCAAACGTCCACGGGGAACATGTGTGTTGTCCGCGAAGATTGTCAATAGGACATGAGGACTCGTACGGCACGTAAAGAGAAAAAGAGCGTTTGCTGCCTCACCACCGAAATGTTACCCGGCCCAGGCCTTCGCGGGTAGGGTTGCCCAGGCTCACGGGAGCACTATAGATAGCAGCAAATTCTAGAGCATGTTTAAACATTTTGTTGCCCTAGCAAAACTGTTGTCAATATTGCGAACATGTTTCATAAAACAGTCAGTAAACCAATTTCTAGTAAACACTGCTCTTTTTCTTGCGTGCCGTGCAGTTATCAGTCGCCCCTTTACTGGTCTCGGAGTATCAAAAAGCCTGTCCCTGTCATGGTCCCCGGGGAGCTGGTGCGTCACGCACCTCGGCGGCGTGGGCGGGACCAGTCTCGGCGTTGCACCGCGACGTCCCGCAGCGGCAGACCAGACCCGCCGCCGCGCTCCGCCAGGCCAGACTTGTTTCGAGAGTCATGTTCACACCTATTCAGCGCGAGCGGGACAGCAGCAGCAGCGGCCCGGAGTGAGCAGGGGGGCGGGGGGTGGGAGGGAATTCCACCTTGCCCCTTTCACAGCAGCGCGTATACTACTATGGCTGCGCGGGGCCCCCGCGCTGGCCCGGGCCGCGGCCGCGCGCGCGGGCTCTCCCGGGCCGCGAAGGTCGCTCGCCGATGTGGTGAAAAGATGAAAGGAGGCAGGGCTGATTAGAAGCCTCTGGAAAATCCTCTCCACGCGCGCGCCTTTTCGCGGGAGATTTTAAACCCCGCCCCCTTCCTGATGTTTTTCTTTGTCCCTTCGCCTCCCTTTCCCCATATTTTCCCCGCTCTGCTACGCAGCAGCAGCAGCAGTCGCGCGGTGCGGTGCGTCGTCGCACACCGAGACAAGAGAAAGCCCTGGGCTGGGCCGGCGAGCCCAGGGGGTCCCGCGGCGGGGTGGCGGGGAGCTGCACCGGGCCCATCCAGCGCCGCCGGCCCGGGCCCGCCTGGGATGGGAAGGTGTAAGCAAGTTATCATTACGACGATACAGCACCGCTCGCCCGGCCCGGCTGAGTGAGAGAGGCCTTGCCGGGCTGGCTGGGCGCAGCAGCATCATCTCACACACGGGCTGGAAGAGGCCGCCGCCGGGTGGCGGGGGGATGGGATGTGGAGCAGCAGCAGCAGGATGACGAGCCTCTCCCATAGCCTCGCAGCAGCGCTGAATATTAAAACAATAATCGTAACGATGTGCGCCTCTCTGGGCGCTAGAGGCTGGCTGGCGGGGCGTGCTAGAGGGAACGAACGGCGTGATTACAACTTGTTCGGACGGAGGCCCCGGCGGCGGCGGCGGCGCGCCTGTGAGTGGTGCGTAAGCTCGTGCATGTCTGCCGTACGATCCGCATATGTTACACTCTCAATGCTTTCCTCTCTCTCTCTCACACACCCTGTTCAGCTTCCTTTCACCTTCACGACCGCGGCGTGCGGCGCCCCGTCTCCCTGTAGTCCCCCTGTAGTCCCCCTGTAGTCTCCCTGTAGTCTCCCTGTAGTATCCCTGTAGTCCCTCTCTGCCCCGGGTGTTTGCTGCACAGCGGGGCCCCCCGCCGCCGCCGCCGCCATGCCGGCCGTGATGGGAGACGCAGTCACGCTTCAGAGGGTGGGGAAGTTGCCACGCCGCCCGCCGCGGCCCGCCGGGGCCCGCCGGCCCCCGCGACCGCGCCGTTCGTCTGCGCTCGCATGCCGTGCTCGCCCTTGACTGCACAGTGCCCCACCCCCTCCTAAATATGCTTATTATTTGCAGCTGCAGTGGGTGGGTGGGACTCCGGGGGGAGGCGGGGGAAGTCCACGAAGACAACCGGTGTTTACTCGTCTGTCAAAGTTTTCTGCAATATCGATTGGCCCCACTGCAGTCCGACTTCAACCCGCACACACACAACCCCCTTTCATTGGTATTCTTTCCTTCCGTCTGTTTGCAGCGTGAACAAGATCAGGTCGCTGGAGGACTTTCAGCACTGCCGCAACTTGGTCGAGCTGTTCGTGCGGAAGAATGAGATTGCGGACCTCGGGCAGATCCTGTACCTGCAGCACCTGCCCAAGCTCAAGAACCTCTGGCTGGAGGAGAACCCCTGCGCCAATGAGGAGGAGTAAGTAGTGCGGCCGGTGCGGGGGAATTCCCGCCGGCTGGCCTGCTTACAGCGGCCCGACTCTTACAACTATTCCTCGTCGAAATGACCCAAGGTGGAAAATAAAAAAAACGCTGCCGGCTTCAGTTACAGATACACGGTGCTGCGAGCCCTCCCCGATCTGAAGACACTGGACAAGATCCCTGTGCAGCCGGAGGAGGTCCAGGACGCGATGCGCAGGGGCAGGGAGCTGCTGCACCCCCAGGACGGCGAGTACTGGGACCAGCAGCCCGGGCCAGGCAGCAGAGACTGCAGCCCCCCACCCGCCGCCGCACCGGCACCCACCCCCTACCAGCGCGTCGAGGTGAGCTAGCGTTTTGCTTCCACAAAAAAAAATATTTTACGCCCCAACGTTTTTTCTTGTTTAACATTATAACATCTAATCTGGTTTGCCATAGTAACTTTCTCACAATCTAATATGACGAAAAATTAGAGCGTTATTTGCACATTTTGACAGTTGAGGTTGACAACATTTTTAATTACCTTTATTTCTCACCATATAATGCATAAAATAAATAAACAGATGATGAAAAGATTTCTTTTCACAAGCTGGACCAGTGCAAAGGCAAAGGACTAGCGACTAGCATACCGGTAGTGTCTGTGCTCACTATTCTTGCAAGTTTCTCACAAAAATTACCAGTCAGGCTTCCTATTTAAAGTTGTTAATTTTTAAAGTGTTCCTTCTTTTTAAATTTAAAAGACACTTCACTTATTAATGTAGCAAGCTAGCACTTACATCTTAATTTTTGTTCTGTTTTGTTCGCAATCTTGTCCATTACATTCAAAATCCATATTGCTTTAATTTAACATCAGCAACAGCAACAAGGTCAACAACCACAACAACCACCTCCGTCCCAGCAGCAAGCACAACCATCTCCTTCACCTGAGCGGCAACCGCAGCTACAAACTCAAATACCCTCTGAGCCATCAAGAGATGTGACTGGGCTCGAAGACACTCGCCCCAACGCAGATGCATCAACGCCACCATCTCGCCCCACCCACTCAGCCACATCCATGACCACTCCTTCATCCACATCCTCCTCCCGTAGAACTCCTTTGTCCTCATCTCCTCCACAGCCCAGTGTGCAGCAAGGCTCCCCTGTGGGGCAGGTACAGACTTTTCATTTTCATTCAATACCTAAGAAAAATTTTCCATCCCATCTGTCTTGTAACTTGCATGTTAGTTTTCTGTCAATTAAGCATGCTATTACATTTTGGCTTAATGCTCACTGTGTCTAATAAAATGGTCCAGAATTACTTGCATGCATCAACTCTTTCTCTCACTCCTCTTGAGTAAATTTCTAATAAATGATTCATTAGTGTTCCATTTTTTATTTTTTTTATCCTTTTTTTGTTGCTGTTCTACAGCTTTGATGGGGGCTCTAATTTTGTGAATATGATTGTTATTCTTCTCTCTTCCACGAGTTATGAAATATTTTCTTTCTCAATAACATTTTTTTACCTCTCTTTTTTCAGCGAAGCCCTCCAAGATGTGCTGCTGATTCACAGAATGCAACGTTTACCAGAAAACCATCAAGGGATTACATAATTCGTAATGCTGACGATGTGCCTGTTGGGGGTGGCAGTGCTGGCAGTGGAGGACAATACTATTATGAAGACGGAGAAATGCAGTAGGTTTTCTTTCTATTTTCATAACTTTTGTACTATTGCCTAACTAAATTTCACTCATTTGATTTTAACAATTATTTGACGTAAGGTACCAAAGACCACCCCAAGCACTTCCTCCAGCTACACACATGTATGAGGTACGACACAAATAAAAATAAAATATGACTGGCCCTCTGTTTTTGCCGTAACTCATTCATTGTTTTGCTGTCATCATAGGAACCACTTGTTGAAGAAGATTCACCTGTAATACTGCGGCATCCACATCGTATGAGCAATGGTGGTTATCATGAGCCGCTAATCAATCAAGGCGACAATAGCAGCAGTGATGGTAGTGGTGGAATGTACAGGGAGAGGTCACGGCCAGTAAGCACAGTAAGTTTTGAATTACAATACTGACAATTTAATGAAAACTGAGTGAATAGCCACTTTGTAGTCTAATAATGTAGTTTTTGATTAAAGAAACAAAATAACATCCTTCAATTGAAAAGCACGTTAAAATAAATATGGATTTTATATGAATGCACTTGTTATTTAATGATTTAGTCACTTATAAAAGCGCAAATTTTTTAACTTAGTACTGGTTTAATCAATTCTGGCACCCTTCGGTAGATATTGTGCTTATTTCTTATTTTCTTTTGTTTTTTTGTGTGTTTTTTCTTAATTTTAAAAGGTGGAGGATGAATCAAGACAAACATATGATCGAAATAATCGTCAAACCCATGAGAGACTTTCATCTGCTGCACAGCGGCTGGCAAACGACCGCATAACATGCAATGCCAATCAGCGTGCTCCCTATCCCCGCAGACCAATAACACGGGTGAGTTTTAGAAAATTGAAAGATGATTCCATAGTGTCTCTCCCTCCTTTTAAGTTTATTTCAAACTTTTAATATTTAAAGATATTGCTGTAAATTCCTTTAACACTTGAATTTCTAACATCTCCTCACAAATCAATTTTCAAAAATTTCATGTGAAGTGTTTGCAAATTATTGTTTGCAACATGCAACGCGCTGTGCACCATGTGACGTGACATGTCGTCCACAAGCTAGCGTGTCCTTTTTCTTCTGTGTCAGAGTTTTGGCTGATGAAGCCAATTCAGGGAGAGTCAAGCATGAAAGATATCCAACTGGTGGATCCTGGTTTTAAGGAGAAAGTAAATTTCTATGATATCACCCTTGTTTCATCCTCCTTTCTTTTTTTATCCACCCCACTTAATTTAAGCTGAGCTCAGTATGTAGTAATGATGCAATGTAGCTAAAAGCATGTATTATGATCAACTTAATTAGTATGTTTTGTATAGCATTTTTGTCTCATTTAGCCTATCAGGCTGTTGCCTGCTTCTACTGGTTACATTTTCAAAACTGTATTGATTGATGTTTTTTCATGCTTCTTTCTTTTCTTTGTTACAGAGTTCAAACCTGCTTTCTGCAGTTCTCTGTCTAGTCAAAGAACTGGATTACCCAAGCTTAGAGGTTGTTGAGATGGCAGTTAAGTGTCGGATGGATGAACTGGAAGACTAACTTTGTTTTCTCTAAGCAATCTACAATGACTAACTAATTACCAAAAATACTTTTAAATGTATTATTCACAAATGTAAATATTGTGATAGATTTAATGGCATTTAGGTGTGCATATGTAACATTCACTTCTAAATGTATACTTCTGAGTGTGACTGAGTGTGACTTGGAGTGAGCTCGAGAAGTGTAACGTCAAGGTCTTTCTATTTATCTTTGACCAGGGACTGGAAAATACAAAGTAAGGAAAATTGTAAAAATTTGTTATTGTTATGAACTGATTCACTGCCTATAACATATTGACAATTTAATAAATTATCTAAAATTTTGTGATAATGCTGGTTACACTAAGGCACATATACCTAAATAGTTCAGAAAAAGCTGTGATTGTTTTGGTGAGAGGAAAAGAGCTTGTAATGCCTACAAAAACCATTGCAGATTGTCCCATACATCGTCAAATATTCAAATTTAATTCAAATTTATAACTAAATCTAAAAACTGTTATTTTTAATGATTTTTTTAAACATAGGTATTATTGTGATACAAGCTTTATGTTTAAATCATGATAGTCTTCATTCCAAATGCTTCTCTCTGTCATCAACCTTCTGACTTGTCAATCAAATGCAATATGTTTTAGTTATCTTACTATGGATTGTGGATTAAGAGTAATGGTCATGTAATGAAATTTTAGTAAGAAGGGTATCACACATGCCACACATCCAACTTCCTTAATAGTTTGCATTCTAAAGTAATGAAACAAACAGTTGGTTCTTTTTCAATCAAATAAGTAGGTGTGTCCCACTGTCGACTTGCTTCTTCAGTTAATGGTTTCTTTTGCCATCAGTTTCTTACTCACCAAATACGTAATACCTTAATACAGTAAATTTAAGAATATTGCTGCATGGCAGTGTAGTGATTTGGATTAACATAAAGTGACTAGTATACTCACTGCTGTTGATCGGTAAGTGGGGGGAGTTTTTAAAAACTGTTCTTTCCAGAATGCTTTCTAGCTTAGAAAATTTGTCATCATACCTTTTTTTTATTTACATTTATTTTTTAGAAATTTGATACATACTCCCCTGTTCTTGTTTATTCATTAGGTTGATACTGATGTATATGTTCTTGACATCCAATCATTTAAGGTGCTGACTAATTTTGGTGAAAGACTTGTTTAGTAAATCTCTAGTCCCGAATCGAACATGACTTGTTATCGTTGTTTTAGAGCCCCCACAAATTGATAAAACCATAGAGAAATTGTATTATTTGCTCCGCTGGCTAGAAACTAGTTTACAGAGACTGCCAACTCGACCAGGTCTTTCTTGTTGAGAAAATTTAAATTTTTTATCCGTCAATGAACAATTGTTATACTACCTCTAATTTTAAGATTCCTTCAACTGTGATGAAATGAAAAAAGTTGTGCATATTTGTTATTAATTGATATTGATATTGATATTACTGAACATTTAACAGGGTCGGTATAGGAATTCCCCCTCCGGAGGTGAAAACCTAGCGCGATGCCATGCTGCCCGTTTTTGTCCTTGAACTCAAATTGTTTATATACTATCTACATATTGTTTATTGCTGAAAAGAAGCCGTGATGTTGATTCACTTCCAGTTCATGTATCATTTTAGCAGCACTAGAACTGTTTTTGCTGTTTCATGATGGATAATATAACACATGTACAATACTTTGGAAATTATTTTGTAGAATTAATAGTATGCAACCTGAGATAAATGTCTAAATCCTACATCGATCTCTTCAGTCCAAGAGGGTTTCTTTTTTTTTTTTTCAGTATGTTTACCTACCCATCATACCACTTAGGTCATTGAACGAAAGATATGGTGTTCATTGTGAATGATGTTCAAGGATTCTTTATAAATCTATAAAATGATGACAAATTAAATTACTTCTTGTGTATATATTTTCTCTTCAGCTAACATTTAAGGAAAAATACAGTGAAGTAGAGGCTACCCAAGATTAGAAGTTGATACAGCCAAAAGCCAAACCCATTGATACCCAATAAACTAAGTCTTCGTAAAACCCCACACTAAGTAGATGCAGTAGACTTTTCAAATAGAAATTGTGCTAGGAAAAATCAATTCTTACTTACAGTATATCACAAGCCATTCATTTAATTGTTTGTTCACTTCCACTGATTTTTTAGAAATCTAAAATAATTTGGTTGACATTTGTTCAGCTCCTAATCTAGGGCACAACTACAATGCATTGACAGGTATTTCCAATAATGGACATATACCGTAGGTTAACCTAAACTGAGGGCAACCAAGAAAAAGATATAGGGTAACTAAATTTTAATGCCTTCAACTTGCTCACAAGACCTGACAGCAGGTAAAAAAATGAAACTAATGCCGGATTAGATCAGAAGTCTGAATCTATTTGTCAATTGCTTTTCTGATTAGAGCCAATTAGTTTTCAACAAAGACCAGATAAAACATTGAAAAACGGCTCTCTGCCTCCGGAGACTCATTCTTCATTCTGTCCACAAAAAAATATTTAAAAAATAAGGTGAATATGGACTTAGAGGAAAAAGTGAGCTCCGATTTCTATGCAAGGAAACATCCACAGTTAGTGAACAGCAAGTGTGTACAATGGCTTACATTTAAGAAGTACCGACTGAAAAATTTTAACATACATTTTTAAAAGAAAATTTAGAAGTTTGAGGTAGTGCAAAGAATAGTCACTGAACAAATCTATCTTGAGATACACTATGTGGTTCCAAACCAAAATACAAAATATGTAGAGACTATTTATGACTTGGAATTGGAGAGAGAGTTCACTGCATTCATAATCTTACATAAAATCCAGCTTAACCATTCTTAAAGCAGGTACATGTTAAAAATGAACACATTTATGGCTTGAGCTGAACAGAATGACCTTGTGCACTCCTCCTCAAGTTGGTAAAATATGAATTTTACAACCGAAAAGTCATGGTACAAACAGCAATATCCCAGGCATTAACCCTGCATGTGGAGAAATGGGTTTGATCTTTTAAAAAATTCTACAATTTGAGAAAACAAAAGAAAAATATTCATATATTTAGGAAAACTTGTGACAACAGAAGAGTCAGAATTGTGAAATATTTGAAAACTATGAAGTCATTTTATAAAACGGATGGTCCTTCAACAAACTGAACACATTCAATTAGGCTTTTCTTTCAAAAAGAATACAATTGACATTAGTGTTATACACTATAAATAATCATGAGGACAACCAAGCCTCACTAACTAAACTGAATAGCTAATCTCTGAATATTTAACATGGCGCAGAAAAAGTGGGGCACTGAATCTGAAGTACAGGAGCTTATTTTACAGGGACATGCCTAGTTTCACAAATGCAATTCATTGCATTAACAACAATAACAAGAGGAGGACTACACAAAACAAAGAAAAACTATACAGAAGGCATAATGGGAAAAGAGGAAGGTGAATATTGATAAGAAAACAATACAATATGATTCAATTACAAAAGGATGTAATATAAATTGCATAGAGGGTGATCCTTTGTCATCCATGGCAGTGTAGTTAAGCAATAAAGACAAGATTGGTTCAGTCTTATCACATAATCACATAATTTAAATATTGCATGAATAAACGTTATGTTTGGATCATACACATACACATTGCAACTTGCACGCGCCGGACTGAGGCCCTGAATACACCACCAATGTTCACCTTTTATCAGGCAAAAATTCAATAAAAATAAAACAAATTGTGAGGTAAAAGCACACAAAGAACGCTGTTAGCTTCAAAGCATCAGCCTGGCGAGTGGAAACTGTACAATTATTAACAGACTACTTGTGTGAGATTATCACATGTATCTTTTAAACATTGTATAGCCAATAAGGAAAAAGGGGCTGATGCATACACATCTTGTTTAACACTGTTTCATTCACCAAGACAGTATTAATATCAGACTTGACTAAAATCAATGGGAGCTATTCAAGTTAGGAGACTCTCTACAAGTCAAAACATACTTTTCAGGCTATTTCTCAGCGAGTTTCCTGTTGCTGACAGAGTAAAAATACACACTTTTAGTAAGAATTCAAACAGAACGTTTGAAGTAAAGTGTCCTTACTTTTAAATTCAACACAGTATGGGTAGTATCTTCTGATTTTCGCACTGTTATGATTAAGTGCATAAATTTAAAACATCTTTCAGTAATTTAAAAACAGACTATATCAAATTAATATATACAATAGGTATATGTACAAAATCTTCATATATGTCATATTTACATATCTTGGAAATAATTAAATCACATACATACAAGGCTGTATAAAATGTATGTGCACAAAGCAATATAAATTTCAGAGAATGGACTGGTAACAAGAATAACAAGACCTCCAGCAACAACACCACATTGACACATAGAATTAACTTGGAATGAGATCACAATTAATTAATAAATTTTCCAAATTCTATCTTCATGTGAAAAGATCACAAAGACAACAGTATTGGTGGGCTCACGGTAGGTGCTTATTTTCCACACACTCTCATACCACAAAGAATAAGCCAAATGTGCTGATGTGGTTACAGCATACACCTGCCAGCAGGGTCGAAGTGATAAAAACTCCATCTCACAGATTTTTCTGCCATGAGGAGAAGCCTTCAACAAGCAGTAACATGTCCAATATAAGTAATTACATAACATTGTCCAAATAAATCTCTCTATATACAAATATAAATTAAACACCCAATAAATATAGAAGACACCTCCCCTCCAGGCAGTGATGAGTTTAGTGATTACAGCGTGTTCACCAATTTCTTTGACTTCAGAACAGAGGGGTTGGTGGATCAGGCCAAGAAAATGGATCAGGTGAAGAGAATGGCGCAGATAGGGGTGGGGACAGAGGCATTCCTTCTGCGCCAACTGGACATCAAGTGCTTGTTAAAGGTTGTGGATGAGGCTGTAAAAGAAAAATTTTTGAAATGTAGTCATAAAGTACAAATAGGGGACTCAAATTGGCTGGACGAATAATATGTTGCTTACCACTGATGAAAACTTAAATTGGTCATAGACACTACACAGATCTGACATGCTATATTCTTCAAGGCAGACAAATCCTTCAAGAGATGGTGACTGCTTGCGAGCACAATCCATACAGTGTACAACATGCCGCTTTTCTTGTTCTCTGATAAAGAGTATATTAAAGACTTCGACCTGAAAAATCAAGAAAGTTACATTAAATTGAGAATGAACACAATTCAAAGACAGATGCAGAGCAAATGATATAGAAAAATTATTTCCTTACCTCACACTGACCACAGTAGTGAGAAGCTTCATCCTTTCTTCTACCATGAAACCGCACTTCAATTCCCTTGGATTTCACAAATTCAAGAATTAGGGCACAATGATGAAGAGTGCGCATTAAACAGTTCCTGAAAAAAGTAAAGAAACTGTTTAGTAAATGTGGTAAGTAAATAGAATATTGATTCATCAACCAGTAATTTACAAAACAACTTACTTTACTAATTCAAATAATTTGGGATCAACAATTCTTATATTTCTAGCAAGGTTCCATGATAAATGAACCATAGGAACAATACTTTTGTAGCTTTGAAGCTTATTCCATTCATAACGTTCTATCGCTAGCTGGTATTGTCTTGCAGTCAGAGGACCGACATTCCAAGCAATGTTGTTGCACCATCCAACAGCTTGTACCCAATGAACACAACCTGCACATACAAAATCAACGTAAATTGAATAAAAAATCAGACAGTAAAGCATTGAAAAACCCAGTTTAAAAGAATGCAAAGAACAGCAGCAGCATTTCAAGTTTGCCAACATACCTGAATTAACCCAAACTAAGTCTCCAGGTCTCTGGTGGAAACGATAGACAGGAACATTTGCTTCAAATAGATCTTCTAATAATGGCCACCATGAACCGTGCAAGTAGTTCATATTATTCCTAAAATTGAAAATATGTTAGTACTTAGTTGGCTACTACACAAAGTTGTACAAGGAGAGGTTTTAAGTACATACTTTTCACAAAGGTTGTTTAAGGCTCCCCAGTATGCGTCAGGTACAGCAAACCACTCACAATCTCCAGGACCAATATTTATGTTGATAGAGCAGAAGTTATTATTCTCTTGATGACCTGGCGTTCGACTTCCGGGTACCTTCATATACAGTTGTACAGTGTTCATGCCAAGAATGACATGGCCAACATGTGATAACATATTACCAGCTGATACCACTCTAGCAAATGCTGGCAACTTATTAAGTTCTTGTAATTGGGCTTTCCATTTTCGGTCATCTGACAGGTCTACATTTGTACCAAATTTAATCATTTTACAGCCATTGGGAGCAACTTTTCCATGAGGATGTACCCCATTCTTCAGTTTTCTCCTCACAACATTGCCTGTTGAGTCTTTTGAGTCAGAGTCTGATAAATTACTGCAATGAATACCAGTTGTCTTCTCTTGCTCTTCCTACATTAACAAAAAGAGAAGAACTGTTAAGACAACACAACATTCTTTTAAAAAAAATAGCAATAAATGGAAGATAAATCTAACCTTTAAAGAGTCCTGAAATGATGATGCCTGGTATTGTGCATATTTGGCGATTGAAGTGTGAGAGCGATGGGAAATGCAAGACCACACTCTCTGACCAAGAACTGGGTCCCGGTTTTCATCAGGAGATTGCTGCATTTGAGTTCTGACTTCAATGCCATGGTCAGGATTGGCTTCAACAAGAGTCTTGGTGGAGAAAAGTCCCAGATCTGAAACATATTAAAGATGAGTAATATATTTAAAAGCACAAGATGAGAGATCTGTTATATATTCTAAAAGCAGACATTGAAACTCACCTAGCTTTAAAGCAGCAGCAAGTCCTCTGATGACAGCAATTGGGTTTCGAAGACAGAAGTCTTGAAGTTGTGGACTGAATGCATCTTTCTTGCTTTCAAGATATACAGATGGAGTAGGGGGATTCAACTGTTCTCTAGTAAGCTTCTGTGGTGGTGGATCAGGTGGCTGTGGTGGGGGGGCATTCGTTGATAAAATACTGCAGCCTGATATTCCATCTAAACTCCTACCCCTAAAAACATGAGGAAAGTACAGGAAGTTAAATCACAAGTGTTTGATTACATACGCAGCCACAAAACTAAGAAAACAATACTCACTTCACACTCTCTAAGATAGTCTTTGAATCACTTTCAAAGGTAAGCTGAAATTCAGGCTTTGCACTCAGGTTGGCCATCTGTAAAACTGAGGCTTCTTTTTTGATGTCGTGAGCTAAGTATTCCTCTCCACTTGGACTGCCATTTCTCTCATATTTCGATCTGAAAGATAGAATTGAGTTTAAAAGAATGTACAGATACAAAATGTGCTGGTAGAAAAGCATAAAAACAATAAATAACATGATGTATGTCTGTTTACTTACATCTTGCCTACAGGTTTGGCTTGTCTCAAACTAGCAGAGGCTGCAGCTGCAATGCTTGCTATATTACTCTTGCTACATGAGTCAGGCTTTTCTTCTTTTACAGTTACTGAAGTAGAGTTGCTGGTCCTGGCATCATTACTGAGTAAGTTGGTGGGTGAAAATGGGCCAGAGCTTAAAGTTTGTGAGCCAGCTACAAAACAAAAAAAACAAAAAACAGTCATGATTAGAATTATAAAAAAATATCTAAGAGACCTTCAAAGAGTTTTAAAATTATCATCAACTAAATATATTTTTTTCTGAAAACAGCAGCTTGAGATTACCTGATGTGTCAATATTTTCTTCTTCCTCACTGCCAGAACCAAACTGTTTCAACAGATCTTCCGCTAGCGACGCAGTAATGTCTTTGTGGGAAAATAATGATTGCAATTCTTGGTCAGAGAAATCATTGTAATTCCCAGCACTAGTTTGTGAAGGCTGCTTGTTTTGAACAGCATACTGGTTCTGCAGTTAACAATTCAATCAATTAGTATATTTTACTACAAGTCTCAAAAAAATACCTAGACCACATATATGAAAGAGAAATAACTTACCTGATTGAAACCTGATAGCTGTTGCTGAGTTTGTTGAGTCTGTTGCTGTTGATATTGCTGATATGGCATGCCTGCCTGACTATTTGGAGTGGCAGCAAAATTTGAACCTGGTTCAGTGAATCCAGACTGAGGAGCAACTCCGGTCTGTGAATGAACATTTAATCATTATGTATTATGATCTGTCGGTGGCCATATCAAAAAAGGGTGTAGAAAGAAAGCTAAATGGAATATGTACCGCTTGTGGTGGACAACTCTTCACAGATGGTTGTTGTAAGGATTGCTGAGGAGGCCTAGCAACTTGTCCTGGTTGCTGGACAGGAGAAACACCAGCATGTAGTTGCTGTTGCTGTTGCTGCTGCATTCGCAACTGCTGCTGATGTTGCTGCATCAGTCGGTAATGGTGCTGGAATTGCTGCATTTGTTGCTGTAGAAAAAGGTGATACATATCAATACATTGAAGCATCTAATTCGCACATCACTTAGATACCAGGTCTCAACAGACAGACAGACCAAATATGCATAATTTAAGGGGCAAGACGACTTACCCTTTGTTGAGGATTGAGAGATTCAACATGAGATTGGTAGTATTGCAGTAGCTGGAGCTGCTGCTGATTGAGATAGTATGGGGGAGGTTGCTGAGGCTGTGCCTGCGGAGGCCGGGCGTGACCCATGCCAGCAGCACCAACCATGCCATTGTCCACCTCACCATTGGGCTGTGTAGATTGAATCATTCAAGGGGTTAGAGAACAGGTCAAATCAATGAGGAACAAGGATAACATGATTTATGGTAATCTCACCTTAAACCGCTTGGCATTCGGGCCAGCCCCAGGAACAGCCCCTGGGTATGGAGGCGGTGGGACTGCCCCTCCATTCACACCATTCACATAGTGATTTGGTTTGGGTCCGCCTTGCTGAGCCATACCTGGATGACGCTTTTGCTGAGGTTGGTGTTTAGAATTCCAGTCACTTACAACAGGAGTATTCCACGCCTCCTCAATAGTTGGCAACTCCGCCCTGATTTTCATTTCAAAATTACAAGATGTTAGAATTTGCAGTTGTATATTTACTTAATTTGAATTTTGGCAGTACAAGGATAATGTTACTTACTTGCTGGTAATGCTAGGCATTGGAGTTTTTGCCAATTGTGTCTGGAGGAAAGCAATGCGCTGGCTGATGTCAGAATTGGCAGAGTCAGTATTTTGTGGTCTAGCACTTATGTGCCAAGGTTTTAATGGACCTGATTCAGATGACGTAGTACCACTACCAACACCGGCAGCTTTATCCTTACTTGCTCTAACTGAATGAATGTAGCAGGCCAAAGCGTCCTTTAGCTGGCTACAACTTTCATACAAGATACCTTAATAGATAGATAAAAATAATTATTGGAACAGTCCTCAACAGATGGCACGTACACTGAAAATTGGGAACTTGCATATACCTAAATTTATCCAAGATGCAGAGTGACACTTGTCAAGCTGAACTGCACAAACGTAGGCTTGTAGAGCATCTACGTACTGCTTCTGTTGTTGGTATAGAACTCCAATAGAGCACCAAACATCGGCAGTTGGAGTAGTCTTTTCAACAACGTTTCGGTAAGCATCAAAGGCATGATCTGCTTTACCTATAGAAGCATAACACCTTCCTAAGAGGTACAGGGTTTGTCCAGAATTCCTGTCAGCTTCCAGTGACTTTTCTAGACAGCGAATGGCTAATGTCATACGCTCAGTTTTACTTCCAAATGCCTCAACATTGTGGTACATCCATCCTGCAAGAATAAGAACATTTGCAAGTTAGATTTATGAATATTATAAATAGATCATTAAGCTGTAATGCATTATGAGTCTTAGATGAAAACTTACCTAGCTGCCTGTAGATATCAGCTTTCAAGTGAAGTGGAAGATCCTTCTCTTTGAGCAGTTGCTCATAGAGTTCTTTAGCAAGCTTGTGCTTCTTCTGCACTTCGTATAGATGAGCAATATGAAATTGAATCTCTAGCTTGCAGAACGTGCTGGGCGACGCGTCCACGTACGAGAGCTTGAGGTGCTTCAATGCCGATTCTGGATCATTGTTCACTTTGAACATCAACCCAAGCCGCAAGTGGACCTCGTTCGCTCGCTGGAAGACCGGGTCGACGTACAGCACTTGTTGAAACGCCCGCACAGCCCTGCAGAACACACAAGAGGCACAACAATCAATACCACTGGCACAACAATCACATAACCCCGTTCCGGGCGAGGACGACAACAAACAAACAGACAGCGGGAGACACGCCCACCGCCCACTCGAGCCGCGGGGGGCCTATCACCGCTACCCAACCCACCCCGACAACGAGGAGAAACAATTGCGGGTAAAGAGGAGAGGTGCGAATGCGATCAAACAGCTGCAGCTGCTGAGCCGCGAGCCCGACTGACTGAACGGCCAACGCCAACCCAACAGAGCGGACCAAAGCCGGCGAGAGCGCGCCGGCTACACACCGCACGGCGGCGGACGGGCGGGCGGGGGAGAGAGAGGGGCGCAGCGCCGCAGCCGTATGAAAATTTATCTGCGACGTGCGAAGTTTATGTGGCAATTTTGCACGCGAGTAGTGC